CTGGAACAGATTTGGGGACTGTGCAGGGTCCACACAAGGAAGGGGTGATTAACAACAAAAGCTGAGGCTGCTGATAAGGCTAGATGCCATCTTGGCTGTCTCTTAGTGCAGAGTCAGGTCACTGAGCCTGAGCCTCTACAGCCACCACCTGCAACGAACCACCACTGGCAGGATCAGCAACAACAGCAGCAGCAGGTATGTTCTATGCTTATGATAATATTTTATTCTCTTGCAAATTATGCTAGATTCCAGTAGGTAGCCATGTTGGTCTGTCGTAGTCAAAGTAAATTAGAACAATTCTTTAAAAAGATAGTTAAAAAGAATAATTATGCTGTTGTGCATTTTATACTTGACCTCCTTGAGCCATATTTTCGTTTGAAATGTTTAAGTTGTTGTTTTTTTGTTAACTTGCTGTGTTAAATGTGCATTCTGTAGCTGACCTTTGCAATGTGTTTCTTTGTTTTTTGAAATCTTTAGGATAATATTTTCGTTTCTTGTTAATTATGTTGCTTTGGATATATCTTTATATTTGATTTTCTTCAGTAATGTTTTGTGTTTGTTTGTTTGGACTGTTTTATTTGATGTTTTAATGTAGGTTGTAAAATGCTTTGAGATTTTTTTCCTTAAAAATATAAAACAGCATAGAAATGATGATGATGATGATAATAATAATAATAATGCATTTGTGCAATTCCCTATAAAATCAACAATTAATAAACATTTTAACCCACTCTTCCTCATAACTGGAGCTCAAGGCAGCATGCAACAACCAAATATCACCCAATTACAATAATTAAAAAGCTTTGTATAAAAGTAAAAGTGTTGTGGAGGGTAGGGGTGATTTAAAAAGGCCAATCCTCCTGTCAAATTAGGAATATCACTCACCCAGTTTAGGATATTCCACCATTCTTCAGCAGAGTTTCTTTTCTTTCAGCAAAGTAAGCGGCTCACGCATGTCAAACAAAGCTTTAATAATAAAGAAAATTGTAACACAATAACATACTATCTGAGAGAAACTAAAACGACATCATGAGGTAAGAATGAGGCAAGAATGACAATTGGTTTCTCTAACTGAACTTAACAGAACACTTGAAGGGAGGGGCTGATTCCAGAACACAACACAAAATCCCCGCCCACCAGATGCCAGACATTCTACTATTCCAATTAGGCCCTAGTGTTTTATTAAAAATCCCCTTCTCACTGTGCCTAATTTGAATTAATCAAATTTAATTTATCACATAACTTTTCAAAGCTTTCTGTTGACAAAGCCTTTGTCAATATATCAGCTGTCATTTCCATTGTTGGTCAATTGCATTTCAATAAACCCCTTCTAAAAATGCATCATGCACAGCACAGAAAAAAGGAAAAAAATGGGCCATCTTCCCCAATCACCCTTCCCCTTTTGAGACTGTCTTATTGGCCCATGAATCTCTGGGGACTTGCTCTCACCTTGAGGGACAGTGAAGATGATGGCTTGTGGTGTCAAATCTGGTTTCCCTTGGAGAAAGACACTGAGCTCATAGTATTCCTAGAGAGCTGCTGTTTGGATGTGAAGCTCACAAAGTCCTTTGTTCTGAGGATATTGGATAACCCCCTGCCCAAGGATAATCCTTGGAGAGAGTGTGAGAAGGGGCCTAATACTGGCAGGCAAGAAGTGGGGTGAATTACCAGTTTGATAATATAAAGGGCAATAAGGGTCACGTTGGTTCTGTTTGTGACTCAGAATTATGTGGCAAATCAGGGTTAATTCGAGGTTCTCGTATTCTCAAGTCAGATCTCCCCATTAATAAGGCATCTCAAGGTAGATCAGGGACTCCCAATGCTTCCAGTTTCATCTGTGACCCTAGCTGTACAATAATAAAATAAAATGCATGGCTATTGTTTATTCCCCCTCCCCGAGAAATGAAACCCAGCTGACTCGGGAAATGCCCAGAGCTTGAAAGAAGGTTCACTTTGATTGACATGTCTAGCTTTTAATCCGAGTGAATTGTGGTTTTTTTAGGGCACTCCAATTACAGTGATTTGGGGGATGGATCAAAACTGTTTTCCATGTTGATCTATGTCTTCTCCTATACAAGCCAATGGAAAGAGTCCACAGTGTTCCAAAAAACCTGTGGTACAGGGGCAGAACTGCATCAGTGTCCCTTGGGATAACAGAATTATCCCATACTGGGGTAGGGGTAACACCTGTTTTCTTACTGGCTAACAACAAATTAAAATTCATTTGTAATTTTATTTTGCTAAGAAGGAAACAAACAAAAAAAACCCACCAATACAGTGGTACCTCAGGTTACATATGCTTCAGGTTACATACGCTTCAGGTTACAGACTCCGCTAACCCAGAAATAGTGCTTCAGGTTAAGAACTTTGCTTCAGGATGAGAACAGAAATTGTGCTCCATTAGCTAAAGTGGTGCTTCAGGTTACGAACAGTTTCAGGTTAAGTACGGACCTCCGGAATGAATTAAGTGGTACCTGAGGTACCACTGTATACCATATTACTCTTTCATCCCCTGTTACATTAGCACCCTAGAACCAAAACAGCCTCAAAACAAACAAGGGTACCCTCAACTTGCAGCCTCACATTTTAACATTTTAGCTCTAAAACTGACCATGAATCAATCAATTAAAGCCTGAGATGATTAATTTATTCCCTGAACCGAATAAAGATTCCAGCCTTAGAAATAAAGAAATAATAGGATAAAAAGATAAATGATCTTATCTAGACTAAAAGAATAAATGTAAAAAGTCACCTTGCTATCAACTGTGTAATTTGTAATGCCATTCAAGAAAGTGAATCAAAGCTCATATTTGCTGGGGAAGGATCCCGATCTCACAGAGAATATCAACTATCAACCCAATGCAATAGTAAACAGTGAGGCCTTTGATTGGGATTTAAACTCAGTAGGAGATGGAGTGACAAACTTCTGGACAAACTTCTGCTCTCTTGCCTGGCCTTGGAACTGGCAGACTTCCAGAAACACGGGGTAGAAAATTTCCTAGCAAAAATGTTTAAATTGGCAGAATATAAGACATTAAGAGGGATGGCTTTCAAAAAAAAACACTAGTTGCTATGCATTGGTATTTGTGGCTTAAGATCTTAGAAGATGCTCAAGTGACTCACAACTTGCAAGACTGAAAAAAAATATCCCCAAGGGCAATCCTGCTAGATCGTTGATGCCAACATCCCGTATCTAACATGACCAGCCAGATTCTTATGGAAAACCTACAAGCAGAATATTTTCCCACAGGCCTACTTGTCGCTAGCTGCCCAACTTACTACTGATAGCACTGTCTTACCCTCTCTACCCCATACAAAAGCCTTCCAAGAGATAGTAGTACCCTAAGTGAGTGAAGCTGGGAAGGAGAGGGGGTTGTCAGCTTGGCCATCCAATGTGGATCTAATGAAGTTAATAATGATGATGATAATGGTAATAGTATTTTTGTAACCCATCTGTCTGACTTTTAGAGAATATTTCAGTCTCGCAAATTGATCTGTGCAAATCATTACGTGCTACTCCGTGAAGCTCCTCATATAAATAAAGCATTTTGGTTTTGATAGCTGGAAGCTCGAACAATCTGGGTATGTGAAATATTTGACTGGTTAAAAAAAAAATCTATAAAGCTGTGCAAAATATGCATTTTCAAACCTGTCCATATGCCACTGTAGGCCACTGTCAGTGCAACTGTTGGAAATGTTTTACTATCCCTGCTTTTGTAAAACTTCTTGCAAATGGAACAAACAAATGGGCACTGGTATAATTAAGTTTAGACTCTTGATTGGATTGCATTATCTAAGCTGTGTTTTGTGCGCATAACTTGTGACATCATTATTTTGACATCTTTTCCATGATGCTTCTAGCCTCCTGACTTTACCTGCTAAGGAAACTGGCCCTGAAGCCATTTTAAAACCATATTGGCAATATTGGAACAAAGCATCTCATAGGTTGCTGTCGGTAGCAGCCTGCTAACCAGATCAGCCATCCTGAATCTGATACGTTCCATATGCTGTTGGACTACAGCTCCTATCATTCATGAGCACTGGCTTTGCTGGCTGGGTCTGAAGGGTATCCAATAATTTCTGGAGGGCAGCAGGTTGGGGAAAGCTGCCACAGACCAATTCCATCCAGTTTGAAAGGTATGCGCAATTGGCCATTGCTTGTTTGTTCTAGTCAATTTTAAAGTTCTAGTTGAGTTATATCTGCTTTATTTGTTTGTCAACATCACATGAAAGTGTATCAGAAGGAGATGTGCTGCAGCAGAGCAACTGCAGGCAAGCTACATACATGAGTGACTTTCTAAATGTGTCCCGGGATCTATGGAAGCTTATTGGGGGGTTATCAATGAATGGTCTTAAAGGCACATAATGCAAAACCCTTGCTGCAGCTAAGCAGGCCTGCACTTGATAAGTTCTCAGATGGGAGACCAGCTGAGAATCCTATGCGTGCTACTTTGAGTTCCATCATGGAAGGAAGCAGATATAAATGTAATACAGTTACAAATCAAGTTACAAATGCCTTAGGTTACAAACACTTCAGGTTACAAACTCCGCTAACCTGGAAGAGTTACCTCAAGTTGAGAACTTTGCCCCAGGATGAGAATGGAAATTGTGTGCCGGCGGCGCAGCAGCAGCAAGAGGCCCCCATTAGCGAAAGCACGCCTCTAGTTAAGAACAGTTTCAGGTTAAGAACGGACCTCCGGAATGAATTAAGTTCGTAACTAGAGGTACCACTGTAATCATAATAAATACAATATAAGCTTCATTGAAAGGTACTAATCTACCACTACTAATCCAAAGATGAGCAGCCACAGGGAAGTGTCGAGTGTGTTCCGTAGCCCGCTCTCTGGATGTGCAGAAATATTTTTAGTTCAGATTTTAATATTTTCCAAACTAATGCACTAATCAAAACAGATATCCTTTGAAACATGTTCTTTTATGGATTTCACCAAACAAAAACAAAAAAGCACACAATAAAACAATAGTTCTCCAGTCAAAAATATGTGTATAATAAAACATTTATTTGGGGGTACATGTGCACAAGAATGCATATACTGGTAAAAAAAATGTACAAAATGCATTATATTGGGGACACTAGCTTGCAAAAATCTGTTTATTAGTTGAAACACTCATGAAAATGCATACAATTTTCAAGGGCTTTAGAGAAATAAATTCACAAACTGATGTGGAGATGAAGAGAGATGAATGTAAGATTGAATGAAATGAAAAGAAATGGAAAACAGAGAAACTCAATGACAGATCTGCCCAGCTCCATCTGCAGGGTTGGTTAGTGACCTGTGTAAAATAGGCGCTCCCCCTAGATGTGTGTGTGTTATAGTCCAGTGTGTATGGGTTTTATATTCCAGGGCTCAAAGTGGCTGACATACTAAAATTCAATAATAAAATCCTTTAGTAAGATCAATACACAAACACAAAACACATCAATAAAATTACAGCATGCCCCAATACCATTTGTGCAATTCCAGGGGTCTTCCAGGGATTCTTTGGCACCTAAGAGAAAGTGTTCCACAAAGGTGGGAAGTTCATCAACCACTGGGCTAGTTAACCCACTGGTGGGTCGGTGGGTGGGTTTGGGACCTTTGGCATGCAAGCAATTATTCTACCACTGAGCTATTTCCTTCAGGCTGGCCAAGGTTGCTTATAACCCTGGCAGTGGCAGGAAGGAAGAGGCCTACATCTTAAAGTGAACCAGGCTGCGGCAAGTGGAAGACACAAAGGAACAGGGGGTGAGGAAACAAATCGAGCCCCCAAAACCTGACAACAGATCTGATTCTGAAATATTAGTCTGTGTGGCCTTGTGTTTTCCTTGGAAGCTCTGCGTAAGCAATTCTGTTTAATGGAAAGATTTCAAAAGCATGTTTCTCAATATTTTTTGTTTTACAGTATGTTTGATGTTTATTCTGCCTCAAATCCTTGGAGGAAATCAATGGAAGCAAGCATTTCAAGAGTATCCAAAACAAATTGTAAAGTCACTTGAGGTAACCGATGAGTGACGTAACTTGAGGTGGAGACTATAATTATGACAAGGTACACAAGAAGCGCCATGATTCAGCAAAGAAACTAGAGCAGGGCTGGAGATCTGTGACTCTCTAGACATTGTGACGCTACAACTACCATCATCCATTACTATCAGCCGTTCCAGCTTGGACTGACAGGAGTTTGAATTCAACCACAACTAGAGGGCTATAGGGTCCCTCATCCCTGAACCACAGTATTATTTGCTGTGTCAAAACACAGTTTGAGATTTCAATGTTTAATGTGCTTCACCAGGGCTTGTCTTGAACATTCATTTGAATTTTCTGTAAAGGCTAAAATGTACCAGTGCATTAATCCATGTACATGTTACCTTAATGTTTTTAAGGATGCTCTGACTCACATTTCTGAGTAGAGAGGAGAGTTTTTGAAAAAGAGATAATGCAGCATTTATACAATGTTTTCCCTCAAAGAAAAAACTGGAAATCACTATAACATCTAATCACCTATTCTTAGTAACTCTACATGACAATACATAAAATATCACTTTCACACAAGTGCTCAGAACCCTGCGATTAAGCTTTTAATGCAGGGACATTTGTCACAATAGGTGCTTTTTTCCCCCATTGAGAAAAAGAAATGCTCTATTTTTTGTTATCCCTAGGAGCAAAAGACAGGAGAATAATTTCACTTATGCAAAAGAACCAGCATTTTAAATGCACATATGCTATAATAGTCCCTGCTTTTGACAAAATAAATTTCCCAGACGAATGGCAGAACAGATGCATTAGTCATCAGTGAACTGAACTGTCACTGAGAGGCTTTAACTCATTTGTGAAATCTCAGTTAAAAAAGAACTTTTCATGATGAGCTAAAAACCTTCATCCCCGCCCCTGCCTCAGGATATCACTCCAAAATTAATGGATAATTTAGTTCTTAGATGATGTTTTACACTTGGAATTCTGCAGTAATATGGCAGCATGTGTGCGAGAGGAATAAGGCATCTGTCTCACCATAAGACATTGTCAGAGTGTAAATATTTACTGTGCTACCAGTCCTTAAGCTACTTAATACTGTATTATGAGCTCCAGAAAAATCACCTGTTGTTTCCTACATTTAGTCTGTTTCCACACTTTGTCATGTGGCCAGGCCTACACTGCTGTCTTCTCTTTTTCTGCTACACCCTTTGAGCATGGGTAACCACAATAACAAGTTTTTAAAAGATGACAAGCTTACGTTAGGTTTGCAGACCCTCCAAGTGTCTCTATTTTCCAGGGATGACCCTGATTTAGAGAAGCCATCCCACTTTCTGATTTGAACCCACAATGTCCCACATTTCCTTTGTTGTTGTTTAGTCGTGTCCGACTCTTCGTGACCCCATGGACCAGAGAACGCCAGGCACTCTTGTCTTCCAGTGAGCACTCAGGACTGATTTCCTGAAGAATGGATAGGTTTGTTCTTCTTGCAGTCCATGGGACTCTCAAGAGTCTCCTCCAGCACCATAATTCAAAAGCATCAATTCTTTGGCGATCAGCCTTCTTTACGGTCCAGCTCTCACTTCCATACATCACTACTGGGAAAACCATAGCTTTAACTATAAGGACCTTTGTCGGCAAGGTGATGTCTCTGCTTTTTAAGATGCTGTCTAGGTTTGTCATTGCTTTTCTCCCAAGAAGCAGGCGTCTTTTAATTTCGTGACTGCTGTCACCATCTGCAGTGATCCACATTTCCTTAGGATTTCTCTATTTTCATTGGAGAAATGTCTACCTGTTGGACGTGCCTATGTTAGAGGGAATGGAGTTATCCGACCCCTGAGCTGTCTGAATGCAGTCCTGTATAGGGAAGATTTTTAATGTTTTATTATGCTTTTGTATATGTTGGAAGCTGCCCAGAGTGGCTGGGGCAACCCAGTATGTGGGGTATAAATAGTAAAATTATCATTATGGAATGGGATGTCCCTATTTTCATCAGAGAAATGTTGGAGGGTTTGGGGTTTGGGAACCTTTTTTAGCCCAAGGTTTAAATTACCTCTGTGGGAATCTGTCAGGAGCTGCACTCCAGCACTAAGCAGGGCAAGACCTAAAAATGTGCAGAGTAAGAAAAGTGCCTCACTGTCTGTATGTGGTCTCCAACTTCCCTCCAAGCCCCTTCCCTACCATTCCGTTCTTTCTTGGGATTTCGCAGAGAACATGACGGAGAATTTGGACTCCTGAGAATCTAGACTTTCTTTTTTACAACAGTGAAAGGTACTTTTTCCACTGCACTTGTGGCATGGAAGATTGCTACAGAGAAACTTTCCTGTCTCTGTCTGGAAAGTCCAGATTCAATGTAAATGATTTAGGCTGGATGCAACATCTCTGTTCCACATTGCAACTGCAGTGAAAGCATAGCATGAAAACATCAATCAGCAGTCACAAAGCTTGAGCTTTTTCAACAAGTCTTTAGGGCTTAATTCCAGCTGATTTTATTATAATATTTTATTTTTAGATGTGGAACTCTTGGTAATTTTATGTGCATTTTTCCTGTTTCTAGTTTTGGAAGCTGGTCTCAAGCATGTTTCAACACACTATTAATGTAATACGAAATCTGGTCCTTTGGTGTCAAACATTACATTCTTAGGTGCAAAACTAAAAATGTAAGGCATGAACATAACTGACAAAATGAGTATTCAAAAACACACATATTATACAGATAGCCTTGGTCGGCAGCTGATCTTGGGCTGTGGTTCCTTGTTGAATGTGCACATAGTGGCAAGTCCAGGTTTGTTGCTATGTAATGTGTTGAGATGAGGAGCGAAAAGAACTGTTATTATCTAAATGGCAGCATTTAAAAAGGAGCAATTTCCTCCAGCAATTGAAGTTTGATTTTACTATAATGGAACAGCATATCGATCAAATAGCTAATGCCACAGAAGGCAGAATCGGGATTCAAGATGACCTTAACAGATTGGGGAACTGGGCTGAAACAAAATGTTGAGTTCTACACTTAGGCAGGAATGACTAGCTGCACACATATAAGATGTGGGACACCTGGCTTGTCCCATTTTTAAATCCTACGAGAGTTCTTTCCTTCCAATTAGTTTCCTTCCTTTTCTTGGCATTTAACATTGTTGTCTGCTAAGACCCCTAGACCTTTTTCACATGTATTACTGGCATTGAAACATGTTTATCCCTCTGAAATTTCAAAACAATTGGAAGTACTCCAATTACAAGCTTGTCGCTTAAAAAAACCCCAAACCCTTATCTGACTTTATGTAGCATTGCCATATTTCAAAAAGTAAGAGACAGGAAACCCCCAAAAACTGTTGAGCTTTTTTTAAGGAAATCTCGAAAGTTGTTGGGCTTTTATTGTACAAACCCCAAGGTTGTTGAGATTTTATTTTACAAAGACGCCAAAAAAATAATAATGTGATTTTTCTATTGACTTTCTTAAGATCCAGGACAAAGCGCCATATTTTGGAAATTCCCCCCAGACGTCATTTCTGCCTTTGAAATCCTGGTAATGTCCAGAGAAATCCAGACATTCCAAACACCAATTTTCTAATTTAAGTTGGAAAGATTTTAACACTCAAGAATAAAAGTTGCCCTGATCCAGATGGGAGATTTAACCCTTTTATTCTAAATAATTTTCCTTGCCAAATTAACCCTCCTTCAAAATATGCTTCTTGTAGCAGGTAGCAGCTTTAGGAGCAATTTTCAGCAGGGAAATTGTACAGATAAAATATTTTAACCCACAGTGCCTGGTTTGATGCAGGCATGGGATTTTTTTTGTTTTGGGGTTTGTTTGTTTTTTAAGAATGAGGTCTAAACATGCTATTAACATGTCAGGCCAAAATATATGACCCACAGCTGGGCTGTGTCCTAAAATAATGAGAGTCACACCAAGGCACGTCCACCATTTTCTATCCTTAAAAAATAGACAAATTTGAGGGAGGGGGAAAGAGATTAAGAAGTGGACCCCATATTCTAAGGGCTTGGCTTAAAGGCAAACTGTGAGCCCAGGAAGATAGAATATTATTTCCAGAATAAAGAATCCAAAGTACGTCTGCCAGTTGGCCTCTAGCTCATTGCGGTACTTAGTAGTCTTTAGTGCTGGTGGGGAAAAAAGGCAGGCATTGTTAGAGAACTCTCTGGTTTTCCCAACAACTTTTGTTTTCAAAATACTTGTACAGTACTATGCTAAAATGTTCCCTGCATAATGCCAATTCTCAACCCACATCTAATTATGGTTTTGGCTTTGATGCATTTTTGTGGGTGTGTAGAGAATGAGACATAAGTAAAAGGTTAGGTCATGTAAAGCAATGATCAGAGTCTGCCTTGATGTTAAGAACATGTTTCTCTTTAAGGTGACTATTCCACAACTGCCATTCATCCTGAATATAGCATGCAGAGGAGTCAAACTCCTATAATTGATTTCAATCAGCATTGTTCTATGAGACTGAGCAGCTGCAGGGGGTAGCAAACCTTTTGCCAAAAAATGAAGTGAGAAATAGCTAGAAAAAGCAATAGCTAGTTTCAAGACCATCAGACAGACCTTTAGCTAATAAGCATTTGGTAAATTAGTTAGCTTATGACTTCTAGGACACTTCAACGTGTGGTCTAGAGTGGCATATCAAAACTTCTTGCATGCTTTCCACCTAAAACCAAATATAGAAAATTGTAAAGAGTTTGGCTTAACTTTTTTTCCACTTTCTGAAGCCACAAATACTAGGGCAATTTCAAAACTGAGCTGTAGAATCATAAACCTCAAAATCACACAATTGGCAGGATGCATCTGGCCATCTTGACTACATCCAAAAGATATACATTTTCTGACTCAGTAAAACACTGACCCCACTTCAATGGATCAAGACAAATTTGTCCTAACTGAAACTCTAATAGAACATCGACAAAAGGCAAACAAGTATTTTGGCCATTCTTTTGCATCATTTATATTATGTGTATATTATGAACAGGTATGCGTTAACTCTCAAGGAATATGGATTTCTGAGAAATTGTCAGAATAGCCATCTTGTGCTTAAGCAATCCCCCAGTTCCTTGCAATTGTCAGTTATACTGAATCCATACAAATAGAAGCAGCCATAGAGAAATATTTTGTGAAACAGAATTAGTCCTATCTATGATCAATAGATGCAGTACCACCATAATACTGAGGTCCCTGCTCCCCCCCCCCCAGTGTTGCCCCATCCTAACTGAAGTTATTCAAATTAATAAGATTAATATTCAACCTACAAATCATAAAAAGAGCAGCCCATTCAACTATCCCATGTCCTAAGGGGGCCAGAGTCTGATGCCAATGGAAGCTTGCAACCTTCTCATAGGTATTTGGTTGGCCACTGAACAACTTGTTGGATTAAATGGGCCATCCAGCAAACTCAGCTCATGTGTTCATCAACCCCCAAAAGGATCAAACAGGCAGCAGCCCTTACACCCCCAAAACTAGTAGTAATCAGTGACATACTGCCTCAGAATATAGGGGCTTCATTTAGCCATCAGGGGCCAATAGCTGCAGATAGAGCTGCGGTATCAAAAAGTGTGTTCATTTAAACATGGTCAAGAAAATTTTCTTAAAGTACTTTTTTATTAATAGTCAAGAGAAGTTGTAAAAACAACCTTAGTATAAAGGCACAGGAGACAGTTTTGATAATCAAATTAAACAGTAACTTACAGTACAAAAGACAATTTTTATGCACATACAAACCCCAAACATCTCATTCAAAAAATATTTCACCATTATTCGTGGGTAATGACTAAAAATATAAATTGTCCTTGTACAATAAATACTTGATAGGTGCAAATTGAAGGAAACTTATTGCTTTCCACATAGGTGTTTTCCCTGTAGACTGAGAATTGTGGACTCCTTTTGTCATTGGAATCCTGCTTCATGAGCACATTTTCCAAGGGGGAACATGGACTCCAACCCCAACCTCACAAGGAACATTTGGCAGTCAAACTGCCTCAATAGCTGGCAGTGGTTTGTTTTTGTGTGTGTGTTGTTTAAAGCCTACAGCAATCATCCATCTCATTCATCAGAAATTGTGGGTATTAAATTAATATTGAGATTAAAAGGCTTTTCATGGCAGGCTAGTGTTTAGTCTCACATTTAGGTTTTGCTTGCAAATTGAATCAAAATAAAGCCAACATAAATGCTATGTGACTACAGGCAAAAGAATCCAAGGAAAAAACCAGCCAAAATTATGCTTTCTGAATTAAATGGGATATAAACACAATTAAATTGAAATCATTTCCGTCGGACTTGAACATGCCTAATGTGCTATGGGGTTGTGCCATAATATCAAAGGTAAAAGGGCATCCCACAGCAAGAAGAATTATTCCAGCAGGGAACAGCCCAAGAACAAACTGGAATAAATTTACACTGTAGAAACACAATATGAAAATGAGCAGCTGTATGTTAGGACTACGCGGACCAAATAAAAATGACATTTGAAAAAATCATTTCAAACTTTCTGGGGTAATCAGCATGCTTTCACAGTTTTGAAACAGAATGGTTTTGTCATCCCTTTTCTACTGCTTTGCTCCATCTGTCCAGATGAATTTCTCAACACCAAACTGATAGTTCTCAGAATGTGGAAACCCCTCTTATTCCACCCCAGTCAATGCAGTCATAAAGAAAAGCACTCAATGGTGCCTCTTGCTCCTGAGGTCTGCTCGAAGAACACCAGAAGCAGAGAGTTCAGTGTTGAAGCACTTCCACTATGGAACTGCCTGTCAATTTTAGACACTTGCTTAAGACTTTTTTGTCCACATGCTTTTTCTGAACTGTGCCCCCCATCTGTACATACCATTGAGCAATGTGATTTATTTTTATACTTTGTTGTTTGTAGTTTTTAGTGTATATTGAATTTTTGTATTGTACACCGCTTCAGTAATCTTTTGTTAAAGCGGTATATAAATCTGCTTAGCAAATATAAAACAAAAACTGTAGCTAGTCAGTCACTTCCTATAACCAGAAGCTTTTGAATTTCATCACTCCAATCATGAGAACCTCTGCAATTGCTACCATGTGCAAAGAAAGGGAAAACAAGCTTTAAAAGAGGCGGGGGGGGTTAATTTTAGCAGTGATCCAATTTCTCATTCAGGTTCCGATCTGTGGGAGCAATTTCAGGTGTACGGTAACCATTACAAGACTGAACTGAAAGACTTAATGCAATGCAAGGCCTCTACAGTAAACATGAGTACTATTAAATAGCCAACCCTATGGTTGAAAGTTCCGTAAACATCATCACATTGCAAATTCAGCAGAACTGTGAATAATGCAGAACAAATGCTAGCCTGCTAGGCATTTTCTCATTCACATGTGGAGTTTCCTAAGCTTTTAACTAGTAGCAAAGTTTCTCCTAAAGAATGATCTACAAACCCACTGAAATCTAAGTCAATGGATTAGTGTCACTACAGTACAGATTTAGGTGACTAGAGACGCACAACCATTTTCTTTGGCTTATGATTTACTATACTAGCAAAATGGTATTTTGTCTTCATTTTAACTAGTTGTACTGCTTTACTCCAAACTTCCAACTATCTTCATTAGTTCTCAGATCATGATTCCCTGCTGAATAATTATTTTCACCTAATGGAATAAAGATGGAATTTTACAGTTAGCCATCTTGTGAAACATTACCCGCAGTAGAATTACAAAGAATTCAAATGTAATGGTTATGTCCACGCAATATTTAAGACTGCTTTTATAAGCATATCCTTAATAAGGCATACAAACAGTAAGAAACAGTGGAAAGAACTCAGCATTAGAATAAGCAGAGGAATCCTGTACTCAAATAGTGCACAGTATTCAAACAAAGACCTACTAGTTTTAGAACTATGAGAGAGACCTAGGACTTATCAGTATGTATGCAAATACCAGTTTAGTAAGTTGTATGCATGGGAGGGGCAGAGAGAAAGAGAGAGACAATGACATCAGAAATAAAAGCCTTTAAAACAGGCAAATATAACTTGACTTTCCAAGTTATGTCATCAGTTTCACAAAATTGTGGAACTATCTCAGATTTATGTGAAGTCCTATGGATGAGAGTCACTTAAGTTGTCAATCTTGTCATCTGACCCAGTCAAAAGTAGCTCAGGTTGCAGTGGGATATGTAACCTTGCCTGTTTATACAGAGCATTCCCCATATACCAGTAACAAGTTTTTTCTTTGATGTCCATAACTTATTTTTTTCCATGTGCCTTTTCCCCAGGATCAAAGTTTCTGGCCACTATGAACTACCTCACATTATTACTTAGTCGTCCAAGGTATTCGCGTAATTCTTTTGCAGCTAGGAATCTACCATATCGCTTCTTTGGATTGGCACACTCATCCAGCAAGGCCTCAAGTCGACCATCTTTGGCAATTTCAGCTGGAGGATCATGAAGAAGACCTCCAGAAGTGCCACGCCAGGTGGCATGTCTTGATAAAAGGTTCTGGCAAATAGCATAGTAGTTGTGGTCCACAGTGACACGAGTGCACAAAATCTCCTTTGAGAAAGAAAGACAAGCTTCCTTATCACAGTCATCGAACTTGCTTTCATACCAAACATCCCAGTTTTCAGGTTTATCTGTGAAATGCATGAAAAGAACAAACAGTAAGAAGCCCAGAAAACAAAGAATTTCATGATTCTAAAGCCTGAAGATGAAAATCTACCCCAAGTTCTTTTAAATCCTAATAGTCTGTCTGAAGGCAATTTACAGAAATAGTGTACTATTTACCACTAACATGAAATAAAGCTTGCTCATGAAATATTGGCTGTTTAAGGGGGGAAACTACAAAGAACCTTGAGGCAAACCTTCTCATAGGGATTGTTCAAAGCATTGTATGTTTCAGAGAATCCACAAAGTGTGATTTCTAAGATTGCCTAGGTACATGCATATTACTATGAAGAAAAAGTAAGAGCAATATTGTGAAAGTGACCACCGGCTACAGGGATTAAAAATATATTAAATAAACTTGTCAGAAGGGAGTAACTGTTCTCTTGCTTTTTGTCTTGTACAGAATGAAACAAAACTCAAGTTCAGGTTTGTTCAGTGTGCCCATGTAGTAATGGATTTGTTTGTTTCAGCATGTTCAAATATGAGCTGCTACAATTGTTATTTAATAATTAACTGCTGCATTAACTGAACTGATAAATTATAAAGCATTTTTAAAAACCTACATCTTAAACTATTCATATGCAAAACAAGAACCAACAGTCTTGGGGGTGAAAAAGAAACCAACTTACTTTGCTTGATTAACCTTTTATCTGCCACCAAAACATTTTCAGCATCCACAATGATGACCTTCCCATCTCTAGGGCCTACTGCGAAGTTGTCAAAGCTGACATCAAGGAGGTAGAGTGCAAATTCAAAGTCATTATTTGTCAGCTGCTCAGCTATTTCCATTAACTGCCATGCCAGGTCCACACGTTTTTCCCATGAAGCGCTGAAGTAGCTCCAGAGTTCTTCTCCCACATAGTTTACAGCCACCATTCTTCCACATGCTCCTAAATATTTTGCAAATGGCCAGCCCTCATCAGAAGGAAAACTCTGCAAAGGGAAATGCATTTCATTAATATTAACCACAAATACATTTGCAACTTTAAAATATGTGATGTTTAGAAGCATTTAGCTATTTGAGATGGCAGTGTTGTTCATTGCCTATGAGGAATTATCCATTGGTTCCCCAAACACTGGGGTGGGGACAAGTGCTAAAGAACAGGCAGAGTGTAATCTTGCATATCTATAAATTCTGCACCAATCCAGCAAAATAACTCATTTGTTTCAAACAGGCCTGGGATTTGGTGAGCTGCTGGCACACACTGATGTTGTCACTATGTATTTGTTTTCACTTTGCATATGATGCATCTTCTTTTGGTCCTTCAATTTGTCTAGGAGACCTGCATGAAAATGCTGTATTAGTAAAGCAATTAGGTGAACATACCAAACACCCACACTTGTTCTCCAATCTCTATAGGTTTTTTCCCCACTATGTCCCAGAGGTTCTGTACTAGTTTACTTGAAAACAAAACTCCATGAGAACAGTTGGTGATCAGGGATGATGGAGTTGAAGTTCTGCAACATCTGGAGGGATGTAAGTTAGTTAACCCTGGGTGGCGCTGTGCGTTAAACCACAGAGCCTAGGACTTGCCGATCAGAAGGTCGGTGGTTCGAATCCCTGCGACGGGGTGAGCTCCCATTGCTCGGTCTCTGCTCCTGCCAACCTAGCAGTTCGAAAGCATGTCAAAGTGCAAGTAGATAAATAGGTACCGCTTCAGCGGGAAGGTAAACGGCGTTTCTGTGCACTGCTCTGGTTCGCCAGAAGCGGCTTAGTCATGCTGGCCACATGACCCGGAAGCTGTACGCCGGCTCCCTCGGCCAATAAAGCGAGATGAGCGCCGCAACCCCAGAGTCAGCCACGACTGGACCTAATGGTCAGGGGTCCCTTTACCTTTAACCTATTAAAGGGCTTCCCCACCATTGTCCTCTCACATCAAGAGCTCTGTTCTTCAGATGTTTGCAAAAAGTCCCCAGATGCTTGGTGCTGTGTCTCATTTTTTGTATGTCCCAGAGGTCTAGCAAAGAAACCAAGTACTTCTATTATTCAGGTGTGCTCAATAGGCGGCAGTTGCCTGGATGGCGTGCTCCCTACTCCCCTTCAGAGCTGCTTTCAAATTATAATTCCAAATTATTCACACAAAGCTAACTGCGTTCTGTACAAAAGTGCTGTACAATTGTTCTAGAACATAAAGTGAATATAAAACATACCAGGTGTTAGCATACCATTATGTGCATTCAGCCACCTGGCAGGTCTAACATCTACTTTACTTGATCAGATGTAGAAGTGTGGTAGATTCGCTGTACTACTTAGCAAGCCATTGCAGACTTCCAATTTGCTAAGTCAATGCTGATCACAGTTGATTGCCACTTGCCAAATACTGGTATTATTCACAGACAATGTACCATATTCAGGCATTATCATAGCACACTAATATTAATACAAGCATACTGTCATTGCATTACCTGCTATATTTGACGAAAGATCCAAACAATTAGATGCACACTACAGCTGCTCTGTTAACTCAGAAACAACCATATTTAAAATTACTCATCAGTAGCACAAGCAAGCACATGTACGTTTCACATTGTTCTTCTGTTTATTGTATTAAATATCAGCAGTAAGCCAAATATCATGCATACTCAGCACTAGGGACATCTCCTTAATTGCAAGTGCAACAAATCCCAGGAACAAATTGAGATGCCAAAGAGCAGCTTGGCAGTTTGGCTCTGGGAGCTCTGGGTGAACCACCCAGGAATTTCCTGGGTTTTGAATTAGTGCCGAGTTTATATAGCCACATACTTTTGTAGTACAGCAAAATGAGCATTGTCATTCTTTGCATGGCCACGGAAAGCCACAGAGGCCTTATCTTTTTTGCTCAGTTCAGCCAGGTGGCAAGAACAACTAACAAGCATGGGGCTTTAACATGTGTTGAGCAGAGGAAAACTACATTCCACCTTAAATGGAAAACTCTCTTGGAAGAAGTCTGCATCTGCATAGAGCTCATGGCTCACGGCTCACATTAATAACAGTTCTGATGACATTTAGCTTTTATCTGTTGCGTTTGAAGGATTCCTGAAGGCAAGTAAGGTTTAAAAAACGGGTTTGCCAACTAAACAAGCAAGCGTATAGCTGGGACGCACAGATGGGGAAGACGTCAAGAAGCAATTGCAGCAGTTAATTCCATGGTCTGCATAATCACACACTTCTGGTGCAAATAGGCATTCTGAAAACAGAGAGGAAGGGTGTCACATAGTATAGGCAGCCTTGTAAATTAGCTTACAAAAGTTACTAGCCTACATTTTTTTACTAGACTGATAAGATTGTTTTTATATTCAAAGAAATTAATGCCATGTTCAGATCAGCCTGTTGACATCAACTTCCGTAAATATGGCACAAGTAATGCATTATTATGGGCATCCTAGCAGTAGGGAGTAGTAACCAAATTGAAGCTCTAAGTCTAAGAGGCAGCGTACTGCATTTCACAAGGATCATCCAGCAAATCATCTGCATGACCTCTTAACTCCAATGTGATGCCAACTGCCTGAACAAGCAGGGTGCTGTTGTATGCTGCTCAGGAGACTGGGCTTCACTCTTCTCTGGCTTCTTTCTTCAGTGCTCAGATTGAGCGAGCAAAAGTTTTAGCTTACTTCCTAGGTAGTAAATAAAATATATGATTGCATTTATATCAATTTGTTAGCATATGCTTCTGTTTAGGATATACCTATATAACAAAGATTATTTTAAAAAAAGTTGTATTAGTTGTTTGATTGATTTGTTAATTTAAATCAGGGATGCAGAAATGGATGTAGCCATAGAATCATAGAGCAGGGCTGCCTAGCTGTCAATCATTTGACATCACGTGATTCACAGTTAAAGTACAGTCTTTCCTTGGTTCTCGAACAGAATCCGTTCCGGAAGTCTATTCGACTTCCGAAAATGTTCAAAAACCAAGGCGCGGCTTCCAATTGGCTGCAGGAGCTTCCTGCACTCAATCAGAAGCTGTGGAAGCCGCATCAGATATTTGGCTTCCAAAAAACACTCACAAACCAGAACATTCACTTCTGAGTTTGCGGCATTCAGGAGCAAAAACATTCAACTCACAAGACGTTCGAAAACCAAGGCACAACTGTAATGGGAGCAGGCAAAAGTTTATCTCCAATCTCAGTGCTGGTCTTCCCTTATTTCCAAACCTAGCATTTAATGTTTCCGTTAGAGATAACCGATATCTATGCCTGACACTGTATGATTGATGGGTGGGTGTGGCTTCCCCAAAATGACCTTTGTGGCCAAATTCAAAGACCTGGCAGGTCCTAATTAGGCCCACAGGCTCAAAGCTCTAAAACTGCTGATTCAAATCAATCCACCCTGCTTAACTAGTTGTACACTTGCTCAATACTAAAGTTGACCTGACCTTAAAACAAGCATCCTTGTAGAACACACTTTGCAGTGTTACAGTCTTGAAATTAAGTTCTACAACAGCACCGGTATCTGATGAAATCAGCATCATAGTTATTTATTACTCACTATTATGAAAGAGACAGCTACGATTGCAGAATCAGGTGTAAAAACTGCAAGCCCATATCTAGTGAGATCTAGAAACATCTCATATTTAAAATATGAAAAATCAGGAACAAGAGTATTATAAATAATAAAAATAACAAGCCAATACACTTGGTCAAAGGAAAGGAACTTAAAATTTAAAATGTACTCCAAGGCACTTGTAGCAGTAATGCTATTTAAATTTATTTTGGAAATTTAAATCTCATTCGAAACACCTGCATTGTCTTGCTAGACAACCAAATTCACGGTTCTCAAACAAGAAATCATAATTACTTTTCCACGATCATATGAAGAATGACTGCTAAGAACAAGGAAAAAATACAGCAAATTGAAGGACAAACTTTTTTTCATAGAAAACCTGTACAATTTTAGGCAAATACTTACAATCCTATATAGTAGCAGAACTGTGTTTTTATGTCAGTTTTGGATTCCTAGCTATGATAGGTCACAGAATATTTATTACAGATCCTTGTTGCAGATGCTTGTGAGTCATTGATCATTTAGATTGGAATACCCAGCAAATTCCTCATTTAAACTGTCATGTCCCCCCCCCCCCCCCGTAGTAGGCTGTTTTCACCTACAGAAGTATATACTGTTTAGTAATATAAATATGAAATGTATTTAGGTACACAGATTAGTAAAATTAGAGCACTGAGCTTCTATCTCAACACTTAGGGATACAGATAAGACACGCTGCTGAAAGATGTTTCTGTAATAAAGCTTTTCCTCTGGCCTTGACAATCTCTTCAAATGTAGGTCAAGCTTAAATAATCTCAAAACTAGCTAAAATAAAGGCTGTCTGTTGTGGCAATGTGCATTTCATAAGTACTGCCACTTTACAAGTAATCCATACTCCAAATAGGCTTCAAACTAAGCTTCCAATCTCTGATAAAAAGTCTTATAATCCAAGAATCACTACAGTTTAGTGGATTATTCGAGACACATTTCCCATTATAAAATCAAAGATCAGCCTTCTATTTAGCACCCAGTCGTGCATCATTTAGTCTGATCACAATATCTAACATGTGAATCACATTCAATTTGCTCCTTAATCATCAGCATTCTCTTATATTAATCCAGAGTTATCAAGATTTTTACCTTAGCTTTTTATCAGTGCCAGTTACATTATTTAAACAATACATACTAATAAGTATCTGTTGAACAGAAAGTCTTTACCATTAGCTAGCTCTTGTAATGCAAACAGTGCCAACTTACACACCTATTAAAAGTATATTTATCTGACAAGCAATGGGTCTTTAAATGAACTACACTATGTATTTTAGCAGGATTTCAGCAGATCAGAAGTGAACCCTGGAAATATTTGAAAGCAACTAGACTTTTTTGCAGTGGTGGTTGGAAGAGCACTATGAGCTCCAAGAACTGCTGAGTCCTAATTTGGATATTAATTAAATGAATGTCGTAACTGATATTGCACATAATTGGTGACAGAATAGAAAACCTGTTCTTACAATCCACACACAAAATGGGCTAATGGAAGAGCTATTACTTATGTATATTGGGCTGCAATCCTACATGTTTACCTGAAACAATTCCACTGAAGTCAATGAGACTTATACATGCATAGGATTGTACTGCTAGTATTATAATTGGCACCTAGTGACCAATGCACATTAGTTGTAATTTTAGAATCACGGAATTGTTGAGTTGAAATGAACCATGAGAGTCAACTAGTCAACCCCCCTGCAATGCAGGAACATTTTGCCCAACATGGGTCTCATACACCTTTTAAAGTAGCAAGCAATTATTAAATGAAACTTTTACTCATGGACTTTGGAGAGCTTGAGCTAACTGAGAGATTTCACTAAATTATATAATTTAGTCACTGACATATGATATTACTAAATCAATTATGGGCTGGATGCCTAATATCCAATATGTGTACATCTTCTAATTCATGTTTAACCTCCTTACAAACCAGAGTTGTGCTACAGAAAGAGAATTACATTTTCAAAAGGGGAGACTCACAGTGAATTTCCACCAAATAAAGTTCAGACTCAGGAAGTGATTATATCTTAGTCTAGGTATCTTACAGAGCTGTTTACAAATTGTAGAGCACTTTGTACATCAAGCACTTTGTAACCAATAATTATATTCACACCAACTGTAGCATGATCTATGTTGTTCTGTTTTATATGCAGTGTTTCATTAGTTTCTCAGCAAAATATATTCTAAGTGGCGCAGCACATTTTTATACCATTCTGTTTAGTGAAGGACATGCCACTCCTCTTTAAACTATATTTATATTAAACATTCTCTTCACCTACAAATATGCTTTATCAGTTTAACAGAAGCCATGTGAAATTCTAACAGAGAAAAAGCATAGACAACCCACTTTTCATAGAAAGCTGCAACTGAAGCCATAGTAGACAAAACTTTCATGTCAGTTATCTTTGGGGGGAAACTGTCTAGATTTCAAGTTAATAGCTCTCCTTTAAGAAACTTTAAAGACATACACCAGCTGGTACATACCAAGTCACTAAACAGTTCAAGAGAGCACCAGCTGTTCCAATAGTCTATTTGATACTTCTTTGACAACCATTCTAGTTTGTGGACGCAACTCAACTGTTCCTTTAGCATATTCATTGATATTTGCCTACAGGGCTAGGAACTATTTATTTATTTTGTAGCAAAGATAAGAGCAGTTGTAATTCAAGGTTACTTATTTTATGCAAACATTACATTGCTCATGGAAGGCACTTAGAAGGTGCTTGAGGAAGGCACCTGTATTTATGATGCAACATCATACCAATATTTGGGCTTAAGATAACCTGTTCAGCTGAAATATACCTTCATGAAAAAATTATACCATTAACATGTGAGCTGGTGTAGAGATGGCATAAATATATTAATATGTCCCAGACTGTTAGGCTACAATGCCAGGTCCAAGTTTCTCTTACTGTTGGCTATTAAATAAAAACATGCTTTTTCTTAACCAAGCCAATCAACGTTTTAATGTGGCACTGACCTCATAACATTGTTCTGATAGATATCTAGAGCAAATCTGAAATAATCAAACTGGTCGAAAATGATCAACAGATTTTTACGATTAATGGTCTAACAAACATTAATGCTAGGTTAAAATTACTGAAAGCAGTGAGTGTTATTGACTTTCATTACAGTGCCAACAAGTCTTCATTCTGACAAACAGCAATTTCAATGACTAAACGATGACTAGAAAGAAAATTCACCAAAAGGTGGAAGACCTTTTTAAACATTAAAGAAACAAGATAGAGATACTTGCTTGCCACTATCACCTACACAATGAGACAAAGTAAAAAACAGAGATTGATACAAAAGTTACCAAATAAATCAGCAGAAGAACAGAATAATGTAAAATGTAGCACCCTATGTACTTTATGAATAAAGGCACCCCTTTTATTGTTGAATTTTTAAATATAGGTTAACCTACAATGGGGAAAGAGGTAACAATTTTACTGTTCCTCTAATAGCACCAGAAGAAGGCAATAAGCAGCTGTTGTGTATGCTCAGTTCCTAAAATTAATTTTAAAAGACAACACTGAACTCGTATCATATGCATGATTAGTTTTTGAGTTAAGTCCCACTAATTTCAGTGAGACTTATTCTGAAACGTTAAAACTTATTCCACTGCAGCTTTGGGCTTTACTTTGGTTGTATATGTTTTCAGGGAAAGTCCTGACTAGTTTTTGCAGACAACCGAGGACCCCAGCTGTTAGTGCACGGGTGTTTGCTTTCCTCTTTTCTCATGGCTACTGGCAGTCCTGGAAAAGGGCTTAAGGAGCTACACACTACACAGCCCAATCCACAACAGAGCTCAACTGTCCAACTTCAGCTGATTTTGTATGGCTGATTGTACAGGAATGCAAATCTATGTTGTATCTATTTGTTTAGACTACACGGAGGAAATTTGAAAACAGCACCAACTGAAAGCAATTTTTTTAAATAAACGTACTAATTCTATTGTAAGTACTTCACACTTACAAGCATTGCTGCATGTCAGCTAATGCTCTAAAACCATACAGTGAGGAAAGAGACTTCACTGGGAGACAGTATCCGCAGCTTTAAAACCAACAAAGACCCCTGTGGCATTTTAACGAGTCTGCTGAACCTTGGGACACAATACACGTGTCGGTCTCCTAAATGTACTTCTAGGACTTTGTTAAACCGCGCAAGTGCTTCAGAAAGGATTCAGACACACATTTATTTTTAGGGGCAGCGCACAGGGAGGAAGTGGTCTCCACCTCTAGAGATCGTGGGACAGACACAATGCTGCCCTAGATCGACCGTGGCCTGATCCAGAAAAAGGAGGTTCGCACGCGAACCCTAAGCAGGCACAGTCCCGGCGATCTAGTGCACAGCGCTCCGTGCGATCCCGCTTATACGGCGGGGCCACGCGGTCTAGCGAGGATGGGGAGGGGAGAGGAGGAGGCGGCGGGGGCGGCGTCGCCTTCTTACCTGCAGCACGAGGGGCTCCGGGTTGAAGGCGAGCGTGATGAGGAGCTGCATCCGCTCCGAGTCCTTGAGGTTGCGGAGCAGGAAGCTGCCCGAGTCCTTGGTCTCGGCGTAGCGGCGGACGAGGCGGTCGAGGAGGCGCTGCGAGGGGCAGTGCACCAGGTCCGACCAGCCCTCCACGACGTCGGGGGTGAGGAGGCGCACGTCGCCGTTGATGCTGGCGAACTCGGTGGCGTGCAGGGCCTGGAGCAAGTCGCAGCGTCCCCTGCCGGTGGCGCGCCGGCAGATCTTGGCGTCGATGTCGGCCAGCTCGCGCGCGGAGCCCAGGCGCTTGAGGACGACGCGGCGGCTGCCCTCGCGGGGCTCCCCGTAGCGCGCGAAGTAGACGTTCTTGACGTTGAGGAAGTCGAGCAGGCGCAGGCGGCCCCAGCTCTCCAGGCGCAGCTGCCCGTTGAGGAACTTGCGGCACCAGCTGGTGCCCCAGCAGGCCGGGCACTTGTTCAGCTGCAGGAAGCGCCGCTCGGCCAGCTCGTTGCGCTGCAGCGAGGCCAGCAGCGAGGGCGAGTTGAGGGCCAGCGCCGCCGCCAGCACGCCCAGCACCGCCAGCTTCACGTAGCGGTAGAGGCGCCCCAACTTCAGCGACACCAGACGGAGCATCGTCCGTCACCGCCGCCCGCGACCGACCCACTGGCCGGCCGGCCCCACCAGCCGGCGGGGCAAACCCCCCTCGCGGCGGCCACCGCCGCCGCCTCCCCCGCCCCCCGCGCGCTCCGTTGCTCCCCGCGCTGCGGCTCCGGCACCAATAAACTCTCCGGCGCGAGGCTCGCCCGATAAAAGGGAGCCAAGTTACCGAGGGGAGGGAGGTAAAGGGGCGGCGCCGCAGCCGCCGCGAGCCTGCCGGACAGGGCCGCCCCGCCCCCCTCCAGGGGGGAGGAGCTACAACAATAAGCGCCGCCGCCGCCGCCGCCAACACTGTTGTTCGCGGCGCGCGCCTGCCAAGAGAGGCGCGTGATTGGGGTGGCGGTGGTGTCCTATTTACCACATAACGCACCTGGGGAGAGGGAGAGGGCCGCCGCGGGCGCACAGCCGGCCAGGCCGGTTCGGTGACAAGAAAGTATTGTTGGAAGTGAGGCGGAGCCAAGCGAGCCGGGAGGCATTTTTTTTATTTTGTGAGGGGGATGGTGGAGAAGGGAGAAAGAGGGCGGGGCCTGGGAAGCGCGAGCGCGCGAACAGCACGGAATGAAAAATGGATTGGTTCGATCGCCGTTCCCCACCCCCACCCCTCCTACTCGCCCCTCCCCCGCCTCCCTCCGAGAAAGGCTATATAAGCTCCCGCCGCCGGCCGGAGTGCATGTTGTGAGGGAGAGGGGAGTTTTAACCCGGGAGACGCCGCTGGTCCGCCATGTTGTCTTTATTGTAGTGAGGGGAGCGAGAGGGGCGGAGGGAAGGGGGCTTCCTGGGGAATCTGCACTTAAGGGAACAGTTTTTGTGAGAATGCCAGAAAGGGGCCGATATATATATATTTTAAAAAAATCTCTTTTGGTGTGTGGCGCTGCTTTCCACGACCGCTTTTGTCAGGTCAGCGAGCACGACCGATGAAACATGAGTGAGAAGTGAAGCCTCGGCGTCTCGCTTTCGTCAGTTAAAACCCAAACCTCGGTAGCGAGACACAAAGCGCGGCCATAGTCGAGTAGAAAGCCGCGGCAGCTGAAACGCAGCTCGCCTCTGCCCCTCAGCGTCCGCTCCTCGCAGGCTCCGACGAAAGTCTCCCGAGCAGGGATTTTAACTACACCGAAAGCGGGATTTCAAAAAAAGGGGGGGGGGACACACCACGATATATTTCTGGGAGCAGGAGTTGTGGGGGTGTTCGTCATGGAGCAGTAGGAGGGAGGGGACGCGACAAAATGCTCATTTAGAATTTGTCCCATCCTTTGCTTGTTCCTTGACAAACGAGAGCCATTTTATATGAGAATAACGAAGTCCTTTGGGTTCAGATTTGAAGGAGACAAATAGGTTGGCTATAGAGAGGAGGCTGAAGGATATATATGAAAGCAGCATGTATGGAAACCACTGTTTCAAATATACTGCACCCTCATCCTCAAAACTTGGAAGTATTTCAGTGGAACTGACATAATCAGGGGTAGTATGATGCTAAGAATGCATTTTAGTTTAGGGATGTGTAATTTTTACAGAGGTGGAAGAATACTGTAAAAACTTGTAAAAACATCCTTAGCTATTTTTGGAAGTGCTTACCAGGCAGGAATTTGGTTACAGCAGAACATGGTTCTTGCATCAAGAAAGTATATTGGCATCTACTGTCTTGCAGATCAGTAAAGTTTGCTTGAAACTATGTGCTGAGACATTTCAGCATTAATGTGCTCAGCATTGTGACTATCCTGGCAGTGCCTGGTACGAGCTATATTTATGCAATCATTCTGAGGACAAGCCATTGATAGTTTGCTAGTAGGGTGTTTGAGGAAAGCTGACACCATTCTGTGTTTTCGAATGCCAGGAGATCAGGATGGCTCTTGCACCAGTGTTAAGAGGTTGTTAAGGCTACAGTAGCTGTGTCTTCTTTCAGATTTTGTGGGGTTCTGTGTTAAAAGTCTATATAGACAACAAAATGCAGATTTTGAGAAGTCAGTTACTAGACATGAGTATGTATGGGGAGTTGGGTGGCGCTGTGATCTAAACCCCTGAGCCTCTTGGGCTTGTCAATCAAAACATTGGAAGTTCAAATCCATGTGATGGAGTAAGCTCCCATTTCTCTGTCCCAGCTTCTGCCAACCTAGCAGTTCGAAAGCACGCCAGTGCAAGTAGATAAATAGGTACCGCTGAGGCAGGAAGATAAATGGCATTTCTGTGCGCTCTGGTTTCCATCACGGTGTACCGTTGCACCAAAGGTGATTTACTCATGCTGGCGGCATGACCCAGAAAGCTCTCTGTGGACAACACCAACTCCCTCGGCCTGAAAGCAAGATAGTGCCGCAACCCCATAGTCGCCTTTGACTTAACCGTCCAGGGGTCCTTTACCTTTACCTTTTACCTACAATATGTATAAGGCATACAGTCCAAAGCTATCCTGAGACATATAACGCCTCTGCAATTCTCTGATTAAAAGGGGGTTTCTGTGGGTACACTACAACCATCTACTGGATATTGGATGAAGCAACAAGGTTGCTTTTTAGAGCAATATTTGGTTGAGAACCAGTGAAAGACAGGAAGTGACCTAATTCTCCTAAACCAGGGGTGGGGAATATTTTTCAGCCGAAGGTCTGCATTTCCTTTGGGGCAAATGTCCCTGGGACATACACCAGTGCATGAAGATGCCAAAGGCAAAAGTGATCTTCTGATGCAATGGAAGGTCTCTGTGGAACATAGCCATTCGGAATATGGCAACCATAATGGGCCCCATCCCAAAGAGACTTGTAACACAGAGAGGCACAGCAGTCGTTCAATAAAAAGTCAGGCAAAGAATCTGGTCCTAAAGTTTTCTTTTTCAAGCAAACGAAACTGTCCAATAGGGTTTGACTGTCCCATAGGGCTCAGTGGAGATAAGGCTGTCATATCTATCATGGCAGCCACGTATCACAGCCAAAAACATAGTAGGGTTTCTACAGAATCCAATAATCCCCTTGGATAGCAGATCTTTACTACAGAATTCTGCCCCCAAATTATTGTTTGACTATGAAACCATTTGTACAGACTTGATTTCTCTTGAATGCCATTTTGCCAAGTCAGCATCTAAGGTGCTTTGAAGCATTATCATGAAAGGTGCATAGCTTTGCTGGATAGACAAGGATTTCAAAATCTACAGAAATGTGTTTGATGTTTCCAATTTGTTCTTTTTCTCTTGGACCTTCAGGCTTAGATTGTGGATGATCATCATTATTTTTTTGCCCTTGAAAGTCTGTGCTTCTTTCTTCAGGTTTTGTGCCGCATCCTTTTAAAAATCCATTTGCAGTGAAGGCATAGAGACTTACGTATGGGAAGAGATCTCTCATAGTAGTTTCTAGTGGAAATTTTGTAACATCTATCAAATAAAGAAACATTGTGTTATATGGAGAAATACTTCCTTTTATCTGCCCTGTGTCTTCCAACATTCATAGTTACCCACGGCCTCTTTTTCTTCCCTTGATCCAAGCATGGACATGAGCATGACAATAAGGGATTGGAGGGTGGGGGGATTAAAGGTAAGGACAAACAAAGAAAGAAAGAAATACCGGTGATATGCATGCTTTCTTGGGAGCATCAGTGAGTTAATTGGAATTTTGTTTCAAGTCACTTCCTGTCAGATTTGGATAGTAACTAACTGAAGATGGAATATGAAGAAATGAATAGTCACCATGAATACCTTTGCAGTTTTCATGTGTCATCATAAAATCACAAGGTAAAGAGCTCTATAGGGTCACAATGGGAGGATCTTGATAAGTAGATGAGATGTTATTCAAGACATCCTGCTCAAATCAGATAGAAACAGTAACCTTGTTTGAGGATTCACACGTAAATAATCCCATGAAGGTCTAGGGCAGCGGTTCTTAACCTGTGGGTCCCCAGATGATGTTGGACTACAACTCCCATCATCCCTGAGCTCTGGCCTTGCTAGCTAGGGGTGATGAGAGTTGTAGTTCAACAACATCTGGGGACCCACAGGTTGAGAAAGGCTGGTCTAGGGTCTCCAGCTTATTGGGTATACTTAGGATTGCTCCCCTAATGCTGCTGCAAATTTGTTGGCAGAAAGCATGCTATACATACTATATAGCTTAATTAAAATTATGCAGGTCATTTGGCACAATAGAAGTCTGACCTTTAATATGGGGGGGAGCACGCACAACTTTTATTTTTTGAATATTTCATTTAATTTCTACAGATCTACCCAGAAAGCAGCAGTAAATGTAGAAGGCAGAAAAGGTAAGTGACAGACAAGCAGTCATGGGATTATTAAACATCCATTGATACATTATCCAAATATGAAAATTTCCAGATTAATTTACTTGGACGAGCATAACAAATCACGTGGCCATCTTTTTATTCATCCTTGAACTGCAAGCTGAATTTATTTTACATGCAAGTTTCACAAAAGTTCCTTCAACATCTGCGGGGGTGTACAGGCAAATAACAGCTCTTCAATGTGACTGAGAGGCCCATAGTCTAGCCCTCCAGATGAACATCTGTTCTACAGCAAAGACTCCTCACTTTCTTTTAAAACAAAGACAGGGGGATGGGGAATGCCACAACAACGTCTGCATTCACTTAAAACTGCTGTTGTAAATGAACAATTAAGTAGCTATGGGACTATATTACTATGGTTACCATGAGCCACAATAGCAGTTACTATTTCTTCATTGTTGCTGATTAAAAATTACTGCCCCCCCCAATTTTTTTTATGTGCCTGGTTTGAAGAAGAAGAAGTGGAGGAGGAATAAAACACTTCAAAAGCTATTTCATTGTGAAGAATAAGGATTAGAAATGCAGGTTTGTTTGGATGTTGAGAATTTGCAAAATTAGCCACGTGACTTACATTGTCTTAAAGTGCAGATGGGGAATTTGTAGACCTACAGGTGTGTTAATCTTGTCAAGTGAATGTGTGGACCGAAGACCAAGTGGCTGCCCTACAGATCTCTAAGGGTATCCTCTCCTGAAAGGCTGATGAGGTTGCAGTCTCCTTCACTGTGTATGCAACAGGGCCCTCTGGGGGCTGAAGATTGGCTGAGGTGTAAGCTGGTACAATGCATTCTCTTAGCCAGTGGGACA